TTGTATGATGCAAATATACGATTGTCATACATATATAGCAAATATGTACGTCGTATGTGCATATGTGTATACGCATTTGCACGAGTGCTTACATGTTCATATCATAAGCTTCGCATGTTGCAATGCATGTGTGGGGGCATTATAAAAAATTGTGTTGATCAGTTGTGCGGATGATCAGTATTTGGACGTCCACAATGCTCTATATAGAAGCCTGTAAATGCTTGTTATTCGTTTGTATGAATAGTGCGGATCTGATGGCATGGTGTAGCAGCTTGTGGACACCTTTTGTTTGCTTGTACGAATGTTACGGATTCGGTGGCGTGGTGTAACAGCTTGTGGATGCCTTCTATCTGCTTGTACGAGCATGCAAATTTGGTGGCATGGCATCGTGGTGCGTTGGGTCTCATTTGGAAATTCTTAAACGCTTTCTGTCCACTTGTATGGATGTTGTGGATCCGGTGGCGTAGCGTCACACTATGAGTTGCTCGCTGTTTTATACAAGTAGAATGTCGTGCACTAACTAGTCTCCTGTTATGGCTTGTGGATAATTGTATTTACGTAGTTCTCTTGCATTTTTCTTGTGAACAACACATTGGATGCATAACAGGTTTTCTACAGTAGCTCGTTGGAGCTTGCATCTACTGTATATTTTCCATCTCCGCTTGTAGTGGATCGATGTATTTGTCGGCCATTGGCTACTTATTGACTATAAGGGAGTCGTGACACCCATTGCCCGCCATCACTTATCATTGTTGCGCATACGACAAGTCTCTCATCATCATCAGTGGACATTCGTACTTATCCGCAGTTCTTCCTGTACTTGACTGTAAATAGTGTATGATAATTCTTCTACAGTCACCTGCGAGCAAATTGTAGTGTCTTCTATCATTCATAATCCTTCGTCAGTGTTCTCTAATGGATGCAGTAGAGACTACTTCATCTTCTTGCATGACTGTTGTGCTAACTATCATCAGCTTCAACTTTGTTGTTTACAAGGCAGAGTTGTAAAGCTTGTGTTTTATTTGCTAAATGCCTTTCATGACTTGCTCACGAATGTGCTGTATCATTCGCCGCATGATGCTTGTGTATTTTTATAGGGAGCCCATCACATTCCTTACATATCAACTGTTGTTGTTTGTAGGTGTTTGTGTCCGTTGCCACCCTTCTAACGTTGCTTGCAAGTACACTACGTTTCTTGTATATTATTGCCATTAGTAAACCATCAAATTCATTGCATTGTCTATTATTGCTATTCATGGGTAATCTATTTTGTATATGACAAGTCATTTGGTGTCTCTGCAAGTGATTAACATGCATAATGTATCCATAAATGTTGCTTGTTAGTGTTTACGTTTCGCCGCCATAATTTTTTTTTTACATACCTTGGAAGTTCTGCATTTTGCTTGTAGGCAAGTCAACATAATTTTTTTATAAATTCCTTTTGTAAACCAGCTGTGTTCGAAATCTAGTTCACCACGAGTCTCATGTTCATTCATATATGTCCAAATGACAGGAATTATCATTTTTTTTGCATTTTACTACAATTCATTCATTTTAATCTTTCATTTATATTGTATTTTAAAATTCCTTGTAATTTGAATTGAATTCTATTCGTTGTTGTTCAATTAAGTCCAAGTCCTCTGTCAATTGTCCAAGTTCAAGTCCTCTGTCCAATTCAAATTTTGGCAGCCTCCCGGCGTCTCCCCTGTTTAGGGGAAATCCTAGGAGTCAGGTCTTCCCCTCCATACTACGAGAGCGCTTCAGGTATGTGAGACCTCGTTCCTTTACTGTTCCTCTCTGACTTGGATTTTCCTCCCAGGATCGTCCGGGACGATATTGAGATCGTCCAGGACGATCTAAACTGTTCAAAATATCGTCCTGAGAATAGTTCTGGGAAC